AATATGGTGAAGTATCTGGAAGTTTAATTCATTATCCCTGCTCAGAAATAATAGGAAGCCCTTTACAAATGCCACAAGTTCAAAAAGGCAAGAAAATTTAAAGCCTGTCCGAAGCCTTATCTTGAGGTAAAGCGCAAAGATGCATTTCAAACTTCAAACAATCTAAGTAATCCAAAAAAATCTGTCTTATTTCTCTCCTGACTAGGTCAATGTAAGTGTATCCCATTCCAGCAATCCAGCTGTTAATCCGGCAGTCCAACACCCCTCTATAAATAGCTCGGTCTGGCTTTACAGCGGAAGGCATTTTGTAATTTCAAAATTCGTTACCCCGAAAGAATGTCCTGAATAACTCGGTAACTGGGAGCCCGTCTACCCTTTCTTTCACTCCACAGCCCCCCTCCCCTCGGTCATTCAGGCATTTTCCACTTGAGGGGAAAAAAAAAAAAAGCCCCCCCTTCCCTCGACTAGAAAAGAGGGGGAAAAAAATAAACAGCTCGGTCGGGGGGGGGCGCTGCGATGCAGGGGGAGGGGCCGGACTAGTAGCGCCTCCTCGTGTGGCTGCGCCAGCGCCTGACCCCCGCGGGGAGCCGCGCTCACCAACCCGGCCAACAAGCCGGCCATCGCCTCTCCCCACCCCCCTCAACCAACAAATCCACCGCCGCCCCCCCTACCGCGCGCGCGCCCTCCTTGACTCCTGCGCAGCCGCCACCGGGAAAAGGCGGGGGGAGGGGGGACTAGGCCTTGCGCGAGGCCTACTAGGCCGCGCCGGAGCCAGGGCCTCGCGTGAATGGCCGTCCAGGCAGAGTGAGGTGGTAGGCGCTCACGATAGACTACGCGAGGCCGCGGCTCGTGACTAGGACCGGAGCCCGCTAAGAAAGATGGCAAAAGTGGAAATAGTACCTATAGCCAGGGGCGGAGGAGTAATTTTTAAGCTTACCTGCAGGCGCGAGGCGACTGAGGGGAAAAGGGGAGCGGGCGGGAATGGGAAGGGCGGGAGGCCGG